AGCAGCGAAAATGTGACACAGTTAGTTGGCTCTAGCCAAATTGACTCTTCCATGGAAGTCAGTTGCTATTCAAGTGAACTGGTTGGACGAGATTTATTTGTCATTTAACTGGTGCAAATTTGTTTGGTTGCGTCTCACGGACCGATTCAAAATGTTTTGTGATCCGGCAACCAAATACGACCAACTTGAACCTACGGGAATTAACAGTAGCATTGCTCTATCACATGAGACGTATTAAGATTTGAGCTTTTGCGAAGCTAACATACCTTCAAATGAACGTCAAACGGAAACAACTGTAATTTTGTCTGAAAGTCTTCAAGTCCTTTTTTTATTTACACACCTAATTGTGATAAACAGCAGACGGGGCGAACCCCGTAGTCACGAGGACCTGCTATTCGGTGGTGGAAACCGGCAACCTAAGCCTCGGGACTTGGAGTGGCGGACCACATAAGGCCCCGCTAGGTTAGGCGTGGTATTGAACCGGACGGTAGCAAAGCTGTCCACCACTAAAGTCGGGAGGTGTTGGCGGGGCTCGACCCTCGGACTAGAGGGTCCGAGGGACACAGGTGACAGCGACTAAACCACCGCGCTACCACCACCCAAATCATTACGTCTGTCTGTGCCTGACAGATAAACCTTGACCACAAAAAATCCGTAGATATCCGCATTCACCGTATTCTCAGAAGTCTCCAAGAAACCGCAAGCAATTACATAAATAGTGGTAGATGTAAAGTTTACCCACTAGCCTTAGCAGTTCATATGTTGCTTTACTATCAAACTATAGTTGCAATCAGATATGACGGATTTCCACATGGACAGAACGTTTCATGTTGATCTGTGTACTTTTCCAATGGCAGTCGAAATCGGTGTCTAAAAGTGGACAGAGACAGAAGGAGAGAGAAGGGGTGGAGACTGTCTTCGATTGTACCCAAAGACTTTATCACACCGGATGTCAGGATGGCTTGTTGATCCGATAGCAAAGCAAACGAGCTAATAAGGGGTTGAAAACCTCAATTCACACTATTCCTTCCCCCATCACCGAGCATCCGGCAAGAGTTACGCTAACTTCTGTGGGTTTGAGATGAACCTTGGATCTGTCACAAGTCACAAGTCCTTATTGTCAGTGTAAGATTGGGATTTCGAAAGTACATTTAACGGTGTCCGAGATAGCTTGCAGTATATGCCCCCCCCAACTACTCGTGTACAGGTTGCATCTATGAATTCTACTCATACCGATACTAAACTTTGTCTTTTGTGAACTGGAAAATATTTTGTCTCCTCAGTACTCGACTCATTGACAAATAAATAAACTACTATATTTGTTATCGTGGATCCCTTGAATGTATACACGATAATCTTCTCCTGTATTCTTGTTCATTTCATTTTATCCATTACATGAATGCACAAGCGATTTTCCGCAACGGGAAGCGATAATTTTAAATTCTATCCTAAGGTACTCAAAAATTGACGGAATATATATGACTTTGGTGGGGTTCGTATACAGAATCGCCTCGGTCGACAAGCCAGTAACTCTTTCGGCATGATTATGAATCACTTCAACGCTTCATAATGGTGTTTTTGCAATACTACGATCATACCCTATTAGCCAAATCTGAAGTAATTTCCGTCTTATTATGGATTGCCTAATATCAACTCCTTCTTGCATATAGTTCCTCATGCAGAAAGGTTTAACTCCATATGTGGTTTGACTCTTGTTCATTCGTACGACACTCGTCATCTACCCTACAATATAGCAATAATTGTGTGTAACTTTTGTCGCAATTTTTCTATTACATCCACTGTACTTGTTCAAAATGGCTGAAAATTCCCATTTTGTGTGCATAAAGCGTTTATTGATTGGACTTGATAATTTCAAAAGAATTCTAATTGAACAAACATTCGGCCCACAAAGAACCATTGGGATTGATATCAGGTTTTGGTTGATCAATTTCACAAATTCATTTCGGTAAAGAGCCGAAGAAAGAGGTAGACATTTTTAACGAAACAAAAATATTGAAAGAAACCAACTAATGATACAAGCATCTTAGATCACAATAAAACCTCCGATTGAATTTACGCACGAAGAGTTGTCTTAAAACGAACCGGTATATTTCCCCTCTCTCCCAACAGTTCTGTTTCCAAACTGCCATTAAAAAAACTATCACTCGTTTTATTCTGCTCCTTCCTCCATTCCTTAGCCTCCTCACAGTTGTTTACAATTTATAATGTTGTTTTCGATCACTTATCGTCCGAGAATAAGACCTCAAAAACGGTAAGAGCGATGGTGGGGCAGCTTCTCTTATTGCGTTTGAGCAGTTTCTAGCTTCAGTTAGGACTTTAAAATGTCGTTTATTGCCGTTGTATTTATCACCTCTTCGGGCTACTTTCCGCAAACAATCATCCCCCAAACTACTACCTCGACTGTTACCGTCTGTCACAAAGTTGTCCATCATTCAGCAACCCTCATTTTGCCTCCAAAAGAGCGGCATCTTTTTCCGCTTTTTCATCTGTGACAGACTTTAAGTACCACTCGATGGGTTGTCTCCAGTCATTTAGCTAGAATGGTGATTGTCTTCAAAGTTTTTTTGCTCATCATACAATCACAGTGCGCTCCTGCAGACATCTACTCACACTTTTTGTAATTGATCACAATAACGCTCCGGATCAAAGATCAAATTCTATCCGGTTCTCTAACCACCACTAATAGATCAGCCAAGTGCTTCCCTTTTGTCTTCCTGAGGGGAGATCATGCACAAACCGACACACACATACACACTTTGAAGAATTTCTGAATATGCACAGATTACAGGAAATCTGATGAACAGATTGATCGTTCCTGACGGTCGTGTTTTATGTTTTTTCCACACTCGAATTGTTGTCAGTAAGCTAAACGGAGTCTTCTTCGAATTGACTGTGTAAATTTTGCTGTAACCCGTGAGTCCAAAGAAATTTCTTCCTCCTTCTTTCCCTGAACTACTTTTTAGCGATTCCGCAAATGCGCTCTTTTGGGAATCCTCAAAATAATTCAATGGCAACAGGCTCGTTTTGGTAGCTGGATCTTCAGATAGTTACAATTGCATGCATGTGTACGTGCTAAATGAGTTGGAATGTGTGTTGTTCACGAAAAACCAAGTAAAGTAAAATGATACAAAAAGAAAGGCTGTCATATATGGACTGAGGAAAGGAATTGGAGACGCTCGTGGGTCATGCAATCAGAATCCTGTTGATCTAAGCGTGATCGGATTAGTCCCAATTTCTGACGTCATCATCGCGTGATAGAACCTAAGGTTCAGATTCTTCATAGGAGTCCAGTCGAGGACAGGGCAGTTGGAGTGCCTCGAACAGAATGTTTCCGTGTACATAGTGAGAAGGCTCAATAGTCTACTTGCTACAACCTCCGTTATTGCTAATTGCCGTTGTTACATGGGCTTCAGTCCAGTTAGACGTACTCGGTACATCACTTTGAATTTGCCTTTGAAAAATCTTGATCCTCTTATTTCTGTGAGATGGGCTACGACTGCATTTACAGATATTTTCAAACCATCAGTCTTGCCACATTAAGGTCAATAGAACTCCCCAGACGTGAACTCTGAACTTTCCCCTTTCTCACACTGTCCGCGTGTTACAGTCTCTCATTTTGTGCCATATTTACGCAACGTGATTTCAAAGTATTTACCAACTAAAATTTAAGTATATTTAGTACGTAAAAAATGCATTTGACTGTAAATGCCGAAAGATCAGGTTACGAAAAGTAAGACCTGCTCACATTAGATTGCTTTTCCATGATATAACTTTGGTTTTCTGTATGCTGAGTTATAGTTGCATTAGTATAGCCTAACAATGATTGACCACATTTCCCAAGCACACGGTCTGATCGGATGAAACACTACCGGTTACAGACATGCTGTGGCTAACTTCAAGTCAGTGAACATTCATCCATCCCATACGAACATTTGACTGTGTTAAATCTTTGCCTACTTTCGTATACCTGCGTACTGATCACCGCCTAATTAAGCTCAAACTAACTGACATTGTGGGAATTCACCCTGGACTCAAACATGGATGTCTTGAACGTCATTTTTGAAAACATAAATCGTCCATTTTGTCTTCTAATTCAGTTATAAACAGGAAAAAAACACTATTTCCTTAATGCGATACAGCAAATTTTAGATCCTGAAGTCTTTTCTTGCATCTGCACATGTTCTTGTATGTGCGGGTGGGGTGTGGGGTCGCGCAGTTGATTTATTTCGGATGATTGTCTTCTAAATTTTGAACAGAACGGAGGCATCACAATAATTCTGATCTAAATCTGTACATGGGGATAGCGCGTTTCCAAGAAAAACAACGAATAACGTTTTTTATCCGGCATCGACAGTTCAAGGCTGATTTGTAACGATACACGGAACTTCAGATACGACAGTGTCAGACTGGGAAAGAAATAATAACAAAATGTAAATGATTTTCCGGTGGAACTTGAATGCTACTTAAAGAAATAATAAGAAACGTGAATAAGAAAGAATCTTTTCAAAACATATTCGACAAACCACTACAGCTGTTGCAAGTAATTTTAGAAGTCACTACTCCATGTGTTGATGGTTCCGTTGATTATCCACCCCGTTTGTTCCATTTATAAGAACTTGCTCATCTTTGCTATACCGGCTCGAGGCCTATGCATAGTGTTCTTGTGTGGATCTTTCTCACATTTTAATGCGGCTTATCTGTAACGGAATGTTTCTTGCTAACTAGACAGCTTTCGTGTCCTTGTTAAGACACGTAAGCCTTGCCACCTTCTCGCGTTCTTCCTGGTTTCGAACCGTGAAATCGCAGATTGATTGACGACACTATCAGGTCAATGGAAACCATCTGGTTCTGGATTTTTACAATCTGATGTGGCTAAATGTGAATAGAACTTATCAGACAGTTGTATGCTGCGACAATCTTACCATGAGTTTGCTCTTCTACCCTGCTATTTTCACCCCTCATTAACTGCCTTGTTACAGTTGCCGGAGGCCGTAGTCGATTGCACTTGATTGATTTGCATAATAGCCGATTGGGTAAAGAACAGAACGTCACTGTGGATGATGCTCCTCAGACCGCGGATGATCACGGTCCAGTCGCGGGCAAACCAGAAGTCCAGGACACCCAGGCAATCCCCAGACAAACCACGACAAACGCCCTCACTACAAGTGCTATCCAGTCTGTCATATTGGCCCTGATCAATGGTCAACGTCATCTGCCTCATCGGGACAGCAAACTGACTCAGTTGTTGCGTGAGGCCATGGGTAGTGTGACTTGTCAGACGTGTCTTGTGGTTCAGACCACGTCCAGTGCTGCTCAGCACGCGGAGACGTTGCAAGTAAGTTTGGGCACGTGTGTGTGTATTTGGTTTGCTGTTAGAGTTTATGCCTTCTCCGCAGGGGTGCGTTATCGAAACTCACATATCAAGATAACCCTATCGGATAATGAATTCACAACACAAGTAAACAAACGGTCGTTTCCTAGATTCTGACGTGCACGATTCAGCTTATCAGTCAGTTGCTGCAATTAACAACTGTGTATGCCCCTCGGCACTTATCCAAACATGATGTCTTGATTGTGTCTCCCAATGATCCCGTCTCAACACTGATGTTTGGTAACCGCTTGACTCGCCTCAATTTTGAAATCAAGTAGGTTGCAAGTTGTTTTTACTGAAATTGGGGACATTAACACGGCATATAGGGGTTTTCGTCTTGTACAGAGTAAACCAAACATCAGCTGAAAAATCATAAAGCCCTGAACAGATGTTTTGACCTGTTTGGGCCTCGTTAGCAATGTGAATACTTCACAAGCACTGATGATTTCACCTCGGCTGGTGATGAAACGTTTGCCAACAAATTACCAAGCTCGGCAAACAGGTGAAATGGAATGTGAATACGGTCAACCAACCGGCGGTGGTGGCCCGGTGGTAATGTTACCAAATCATCACTCCGGGGATATGCTCGGATACCATCACCACCACCACCACCTGAGTTTTCCCATTGTGTGTTGAATTGGCAGCCCTTTGATTAACCGCTTCCTCCTTCCTGAAAATTGTATCTTTGTCCAATCAATAAAAAACAAGTAAAATGAAAAGAAAAAGAAGGAACGAACTCAGACCTCATAGGTAGAACGCAAGTATAATACCCACTCGGCCACCGGGGAGTTGATCAAACTGTTTATCCTTTTGCCCAGCCTTTCCGTTACGCTGCTGTTGCTCTGTACACGACGGAATCCATGAGATAACTGATTCACATCCTCCAATATTCTCGTGTAATAAGAAAGTAGTTGAATTGGTGATCATATGAGGGAGTCAATTAAACCATAAATTCAGTGTGTAGCATTTTCCATCTCATAAAACGTATGAAGTATAGTAAACTCGCTAATCTTCCAGACGACTGCACTGGAGGACAGATGGACATTCGTCCAAAACAAAACTTGTTCATTCTGTGCTTGCGCATAACAAAAAAAACACGGGAAACAATACCGCTGTATTCGGATCAAAGAGGTTTTGAACGCGGCGGCTCGACAGGATTTTAGCGTCACTTAGGAAGGTTCACGCAACACTTGTGATCCGGTCTGGTGAGTACATGAATGGGCAGTAGAAACCATATCTCCTAGCTTCGTGATAAGAAATCGGTGGAGCCAAAACTTGAAAGGACACAGGGAGGCAGTTACACGGCTATGGGCAGGCGTTTCATGAATGAACTTCAAGGACAAGTTGCTAACAATGAGAATGGCTTTAAGGTGCATGCGGTCCAGACGAATGAGGTGAAGTATCACCTCAGAGATAGCTAAAGTACTCCACGATGGGACGAGGTTTGACTTTGTAATCAGTGAATGAGGGGTCAAGAAACTATTTGGCGTGGAAACATTGACAAATCATCCCGGTCGCACGCGAGACAAATTGAACAATATTAGGTAACACCGATATGGAGGAGGATAGCATACAAGTAAAACAGAGATTAAGTTGCTGGGGTACATGCATACCAGAAAATTTTAGCAGAATTGAAAATTACTCAACTTTTAGTGACCCAAGCGGCACCAGTACTCCAGTCAAAACGAAATGATTCATACCTCGACAACCGAGCACAAGGGATGTTGATAGATGAATTGTGCAAATGTTTGTTTTGGCAAATTTGAACATGTTTTGTCGATTGTGAAAAATTCAGTATCCTCGGTGGGATTTGAACCCACGCATGAACGCCGACTACGCTTTGTACGCGCACGCTCTACCAGCTGAGCTAAGAGGCCACACCGAAAGCACTGATCTTTTCACATTCGAATTACCCGTCCAACTTACAGAGGCATGTAGCATCTACCAATTAACATGTAAGCTGACTGCCCCGACAGGTTTTCCTTAGAATTCACCGGACTCCACCGAATGAGTTTCTAAGACAAGTTTAATTGTGCAAATGGTTGTTTTGGCTGTTAGCTAACATGCTAATTGGTGGATGCCACATGCCTCTGTAAGTTGGACTGAACTTTTCAAAATCGACATAATGATAGAAGAATTGTCAAAACCGTTGTCAAAAATGGAGCAGTGTATGTTTGTGTGATTGGCAAAGTATAGGTATGATTGAGAGTTTAGAGTGAAAGGTCGTTGAAGAAGTGAAGTTAGGGGGTTGGGATACAGCACGGTACCTTGTGAGTCACCAAAATTTACCGATATTGCTGTGAGTCCAGCAACACTAGGCGGTCACGAGTCAACCTTCATAGTCAACTTAAGAAACACAGGGAGAGTCCAAACTTGGGAAGTTTCACAAGGAACCCACTTGTAACAAACCAGTTAGACANTCATGGAGACGTCGACGGAGACCAGGTCACCAGGAGATCTGTGACAGTCAGTGAGATGCACATGATGCTTCAAAAAGGCCATCAAATTGTTTTGTAATCGCTATTTTATAAATTTGAAGTGGGACGATGTGACAGAGTTTGAAGATAACTGTTTAAATAGAGCGATACACCTTACTTGGAAAGACGCGATTGAATCAAAATGAATCAAAATGGGATGCAAGTAAATTCGTCTTTCATAAGAGATTGAAGATGGGACCGATCGCAGCTTTCTTGACCGGGAAAGGTCAGACAGGAACAACAATAAGAAAATGTTTTTCCAGGGGACAAGAACAGTTGAATAACTGAGTGATTTTGTTGGTCTTGGATTGGAAAAGTTTTCTTCGGTTTACTGGGTGATTGCCCAGCATCAGTGGAAAGAAGCCAAGAAGTTGAGGAAGCTACTACAATCAGATTATTTCTAACGTTAGAACTTGCTGTGGAAACGAACTTTCAGGAGTATAGTTAGAGGGTAAAAATCAACGCTAAGAAGACAGTTGACCAGTTGAGAGGGAAAGATGGAGGTAAGCGCGATTAAAGAGAGGGATGAGAAGTTCACAACAAGTTAATGGTGTGGGCACGCTCTTCTGTGGGATCGCGAACACAGGTGGGGAAGGTGACCAAGTGTGATAGGCTGAGTACAATAGCAAACGTTTCTGCCGGGCGACCTATGGTTGCGGCTGTTGCGGAGAGAACTAACCAGTCGTCGATATCAATGTGTAAATCACTTAAAATGTTTATCTGGGTTTTGGAGTTTTATTTGATAATATTTTTAGTGCACAGTGAATGAAGGACAAACAGAAAAATCGAAAATGTTGGGAAAATGATGAGGAAATTCAAAACAGTAATTTTAGGATCGGATGAGAAGTCTCTGAACTGAAATTCGCAATAGAAAACATCAAGACTGGTTAGAGCAGTGGCTGGTGAGGCACGATAAACAAACGCCCATTCCCCAGCTCTTGTAATGTTTGGATAAATGATACAACCGGACCAGCTTGAACTGTGAGCCCAATAAGCATGCGGTAGCGGAGACCACCAGCGGAAACCGTAACGACCCACTGACTAAGTGAGTACAACACAACTGCGCCCAGACTGTGGTATCCAGTGCAATTCCCAAGAGAACCGAAAGAACACCCTGCTAGAGTAGTACCATCCCGGAAACCTGCTAGCGAAAAGATGAAAGGTGGGTCTTCAGGTTGAGGTTATTTAATTGGGCCGACCCAAAAGGCGTTGAGTACGGACAGCTCACTGGATGCTATACAGTTTTGGGACCGGCGAGCAATGACCTTGAAAATCGGTTCGAAAGTGCAGAGGGAATGGATCAACCACGGCCGATGGTATGGCTTATTCGGCTCAAAAATTTGAAAATTCAAATTTTATAAAAATAATTAGGAAACTAAGCGAAACGGCGATGAAAATACTCACTGTTGACGGGAAAATTAGCTTTTCCCTATCACAAGCTTTGAATAGAACGGATGTGTAAGGTGAAAAGTAAAGACACAGAGATTGTGCAAGATCTCTCCACGAGAATGATGGGGTCTAGGAAAGGAAATGAGTGAGTAAGGAGGTAGATTCATGGCAGTTCAGCAATGCACGAAATCAATATTCCGGAGGAAACCACGAATGCTGGTGAAAGCAATACAGGAGCGCATA